CACACCAATAATGGTGTACCAATAATTGTACCCTCTACCCTCCAATAATGCTAGGCTCCAATAATTGTGGCCCCTACAATAATTGTGACAATTATTGTAGGACCTGAAGGCTTATAAAGAGGACTACACTAAAACCAAACAGCACACTGGTATACAGTATTCGTTATACTGTATTCGGATTTCCAACACTCCCCCTTCCTGTAGGTTTTAGTGAATCCGTTTTCCTTGGAGGATAGGGTGGTCGAGGTGGTGTACCACCACAAGGTAGGGGTGCGTCCAAACCAAGCTAGGGTTTGGTGTTGGCCGAGCTGCTTGTCACTGTAGCACTTTTCCCCTCCCAAACTTTGGGCCTTCCAAACTCCAACCAAACCACATGCCTTCACGTTTTCCATTCCCTCCTTCCAATCTCGACATTCTAGATCGAGATCTAGAGAGTAGTGGCTGCTGCTGAGGAAATCGTAGCAGCTCTATGGCGAAATCTCCTCAAAACCATGGCGGAATGCACGTATCGTCATGGCGGAATGCCCTTAGCGCACGCCGAATTTCCGAAACCGTAGGCTTTATCGCACGCGACGACCACACTTGTCGCGCGTTTGCGACGATCGCGGTTGCGGATGACGCGAATCGGTAGCGGATAACGCATGGCGTACGGCTGGCGCGGAACTGCACTGGCGGGCGCACACTTCGCGCGATAGAAGCGACGACTTGGCGTTCGTCAGCGGCTGACGATCTGCTGCGCGCCTACTGCATCATTTTCCTGTCCGCGCCTGCTGCATCTTCGTAAGCCTTTCTCCCCATGCTTTGGCAATCTTGCCAAGTTTGCTCAAACTTCTCCCATGTTGCCCTGTGATGCTCGCCCTATAGTTCAGCAGACACACGGTAGCAGCCGGAGTTGCCGAACTCCATCAGTTGGAGGGTTGCGCATGCCGATGAACTCCAAGTATCCCAGAAATCTGCACTCCATAAATACAGAAATGTCCACTCCATGTGTGCAGTGCACACCAAGTATGCCGAGATGTGCACACCAAGGTATGCAGAAATGCGTGCTTCCATGTATGTTCTCCATCCTTCCCTCAGATGGTGCCGTTCATCTGCAGCAACCAGTCGCACGATACCGCTGCATCACGACGTATGACAACCTGCTGCATCCATTTTGCCTGCTCCCCCTGCCTATTGGCAACCCTTGGTGAGTAGGTCTTCCCCTTATGCTTCTTGACTCCATGTCCCACTCCTGTGCCATCAGATACCCTCCACACCCCACCTCCCCCTCACCCATGTGCTTGTAGTCATCCGTGGACACAGCTACAAGCACATGAGTGAGTGTGGAGTTAGGTGATGCCATGGTGTGCAGCACAGCTCGAGGAGGCCGCACACATGAGTACAACTTCAGACTCCTTGACTTGGCGATCATCAGCAGATGGTACGCCCGTTGTTCCACATTCCACGGTGTTTTCCGCATCATTGTCTTCAACCTTCTCTGGTACAATCACTCCTGCTGCAGGTAAGTCATCTGCTGCAGCATCTCCACTTCCTTGGGGTGCATCAGCTTCATCAGCTCCAGGTGAGTCATGTTCTACAAGGTCTGCTCCATCGCCTCCCGAATTCACCGCGAACCGTTTTCCTTCTCCCCCTGAAGTCCACACCGCAACGTGGGGTGAGACTTCATGCGTGGTATCATCATGTGCCGGCTTCCGCACGACGCAAGCTTTGTGTGCCATGCGGTATGCAGAATGGGTACGCAACTGCACTCCAAGTGTGCGGGGATTCGTGCTCCCAGGTGCGTCCATGTGCACACCTGGTGTGCGGAAAAGGGTAACCCCTTCACGATCAACCTGATTCGATGACGCGTCATCACGGGAATGTCCATGATCATGGGCGGATGTAAGTGCATGCGCATACTGCACCACAAGCACTCCATCCACGTTCTTGCCAAGTCCAATCCGCACACTCTCCTCTCCATGAGTCATGGTGATCTCGGTGTCTCCATTAGTAATGGTATTGATGCGCGCTCCCTTTTTCAGCAGCTGACAATAGGAGAGCAGGTTGCTCTTCAGACCAGGTACGTAAAGGACTTCATTGTAGCGAACCGTTGTCCCATCAGGTGCCGTTGCTCTGATCGTTCCCATCATCGTGCTGCTCAGCTCGCTCCCATCAGCAAGCTCCACATAAACAGGTTCGTCCAGCTCCCTTAACTCTTCAAACCAGCGCTTGTCCGAGGTCATGTGCTGGCTGCTTCCACTATCTAGCATCCAAGATGACGCTTTAGCTGGTGGTAGGGTAGCTTGTGACAATCCCACCGTTGCAATGCACGTAACAGTACGTTGCTTGTCTTCCCCGGCTGCCCCTTGCTGTTTTGACACATCGTTGTCACGCTTAGGGCTGCCACTCTTTCGTGGGGAGAACAAACGACTGTCGCCGGTGTGCAGTTTTGACCTTCTGGTATGCGGTTTTGACCTTCTGGTATGCGGTTCCCACCCTCGTGGTGACCAGCCAGGGGGTGCCTTGGTACACTTGAAGAAGGGGTGGCCGACCTCCTTGCAGTACCAACACACAAGAGGTGAGCGACCCGCACTTCCTTCCTTGCCTTGCATTTTCTCCCCAGCGAATTCTTCCTTGTTCCCGGTGCTGCCCTTAGCAGTTGGAGAAGGTGAGCGATCTCCGCGCGCTTGTCCAGCCATGCGAGGTGGACGCCGGTCATGGTTAGCCTTCGTGATGAGGTCGTGATACCTCTGCTCCTGAATCATCATCCGCTGCAAGGTGAAGCTGTCCGTCACGTTGTGTAGCATTGCCGAGTGCCTCATCTCCTCCCAATGCGCCGGTAGTCCGGTGAGCAGATTTAAGGTGAATGTGTCCTCATCCACCATCTTCCCCGCAAGTGCTAATTTGTCCCTGATTGCCGTTGCGCGGTTCACGTACTCTTCCACCCTCTCTTGACTCTCCATTTTCAGGTTGTCCAACTGCTTCAAGAGAGAGACCTTCGCCACCGAATCTTTGGCCTGGTAAGTATCCATTAAGTACTCCCATGCTTCATATGCCGGGCTATAGGATTCTTGGAACATGTCCAGCTGTATCTGAATCGTGGCGCTCACGCTGTGCAGTAGGACCCAAAAAGCGAGCGCCGCACGTTGTGAGTAATCCGCCTGTAGCATTTCCAGCCGCTCCATAGCGTCGTTAATGTCACCATCTCCCATGGTAACCGGATACTGCAGGGTCACAAAGAACTCCCACAGATTCGTGACGCGAGCGTTCATACGAAACCGTAGCGCCCACTCCCGGAAGTTCGAGCCATCAAACGGAGTAGTGGTGAACGCTTTGTCCACCGTTGCTCCCACCATTTTGCGTGACAGTCGTTCCTTGTCATCTTCCGTGTATTCACGTGGAGCGGGGTCGAAGAGAGTACGCACGGCTGACGGTCGAGGTAGCTGAACCGTGCGCTGCATGTCCCCATTCTGTCCACCAAGTTGACGTGCCAGCACTTCCACTTGATCACGTCGCATGACACCACTTGTCTGCATTCCGTATCCCATCCGCCCCATGCTGTCCACATAGTGTGCGCCTATCGATCGACGAGGTGCACACAGAGGTATGACATTGCCGCTATGAAGGTGAGACCTGGCCATGGGAGGAGCTCCAATGGGATGGGAGTTTGTCGCAAGTTGTCGTAGTGGGGGAGCACCAATAGTGTAGGAGGCAAAACCCACACCTTCCATGCCCACTTGACCATTTCCGTCACCCTGCTGCCCAATCTGTCCACTTCTCACTCGACCATGCACTGCACTCCCATACTCATCATTCCTCCCCCGTGCTTCCCTTTGCATGGATGATTGAGGTGCAGGATTGGCCTTCTCCTCTCCTTGGACGGATACATCCCTCCCTTGGGATGACTCTCCTCCTTGAGGTATGCCCATTTCCCCTTCACCATCAATTCCTCCATGAACATTTGCACAAGTTTGGTTAGCACGTGGAGTGCTTGAATGAGAGTGTCCACGGGTGGACGGATTGCTGGACTCATAAGAGAACGTTGTCCTTGGCTGGATTGTCATTCCAAACTTGTCCCTTAACGAAGCTTGGAGTGCTGGTGGTGCCCTTGCAATCATGCTTTCCAGGTGCTCATGCTGAGCCATGATGACTTCTTCAAAAGCCGCATATCCAGGATCCACTTCGCCATCGAAGTGCGCCATGACCTTGACAAAACCGTCCACCAAGTGTGCGGTAAACGCGCGGTTGTAACCAACAGCGAACACCAGGTGTACGAAAGCGTAGACCGGGTGTGCGGTACTCTGACTGTATGCAGGTACCTATCCAAACTGTATGCCAGTAAATTCATGAACCAGTTTTGGCAGCATGCCCCCTAGAATAGCTCTGATACCATGCTAGAAAGGCATAGTGCCAGCGTAGCGGAAACGTGTTTGTAGAAAAGAACAAGATAGAAATCTTGCATTGATCATTGAAAAGTAGAAGGATGACACAATGATGACTCAATGATGTGACACAGCAGGGTATATATGCATCCAGCTACCCCTCCAGAATGACCCATTCACACCAATAATGGTGTACCAATAATTGTACCCTCTACCCTCCAATAATGCTAGGCTCCAATAATTGTGGCCCCTACAATAATTGTGACAATTATTGTAGAACCTGAAGGCTTATAAAGATGACTACACTAAAACGAAACAGCACACTGGTATACAGTATTCGTTATACTGTATTCGGATTTCGAACTAGGAAACCTAAAAGTGTTGTAAGGTGGGTACAAGTAGGAAAACCTAAAAGTGTTGTACCCCATAGGAACTACCCCACTACAGCCTAAACAGACTATAGCATATAAGTTTGACAAGAGTTATGCATTTAGGGTTGATGTCTCCCTCGGATGGCATGCCATCCGATGGGGTTTTTTTTTTTTCTTCTTCCTGGGGGCAGCAGTTTGAAGGAGGTCGACAGGTAGACGGAGGGTCGACGGAGCCGTCGACCCATTTCCGTTGAGATATGCCTTACATATGGTATGTATTTTTCAAAATACGTACTTTTCTATTCTCACCGTGCCATTCCTGTGACTCTCTACACCGCCCCCCACTCAGACCCACCGCTGCCTGCTGGCTGCTTTCACCTTCATTCCCGCCATCGCAGGAGCAGTGAGCGCATCTGTGCGCGCGGCTCGCCTTTTTCACGTTTTACTCCGCGCGCTGCGGGGTTCAATAGCCTCGTTTCCTGTTCGAAGCGCGCCGCAGTGCCGTGGGCACGATTTCGACGTTGACTCCGCTTCCTCGCGGAACTCAACTCGCACGCTATTCCCCCGCGCCGCGCAGCCAGTCCCGCCCCCCTCTGCGCCCCGCCCGCCATGTGACAAGTACACCCTGTACCTGTCAACTCCGCGGACATTCGCTTGCGCTCATCCTCAACACCCCCACCAGTCCCTGCCGCCCATCGCCCGTTCCTTCCGCTTATCGCTCCCGCTTCTCCCCTTGTCTCCTCCCATCGCCGCCACCCACCCCTCCTGCCTTCCGCCGCGCCCGTTTCTGAATTCCTTGCGTTCCGTTCATTCCGCGCATTCCGCGCGCTTCTCTCCCCGCCCGGCCCCCACCCTCGCTAGTTCCTGCGCGCTAGTTTCCTCTCCTCCCGCCTGCGCTGATCCGTCCCTCTTCTCGATCGCCCCTCCCTGTAGCAGCAGCAGCGGTCGTCAAGCCATGCGGCAGCCGTCCGTGCATTGAGCGCCAGCGGTGAGGTGCACATCCTCACCCAAGCTGTAGTAGCGCCTGTGGCCGGGCCGGGCTTACACAAAGGGTTGAAAGGCATCCGTTGCGCCTCTATAACGCCCTCGTTCTGACCCAGTGGTATATCGGGGTGTTATACAAGCATACTGAGCCCTCCCTCCCCTCCCTCTCCTCCCTCCGCTCCCTCATCGCCCTCCCGCCGTCCTATCTTTTTTCCTGGACCATTGTACCAGCACGCAACCCACGCCATGGACGCGCGCATCGCCGCCCACCGCTTCACACCGCTGCTCACCGCTGCGCGCACCGCTGCTCACCCTTGCTCACGGCCTTCAAGATGCTGAAAGGTGCAATTGCTATCTCACTTGGGAACCTCAAGGAGCCACGAGCATGGCAGGCGCGCACACTCGTGTGGAGGCAGCACTGGGAGTTGGAGAAGCGGCGGCAGGGCCTTGGGGTTTTGAGACGTCTCAAAGCGCGCACAGTCACGTGGAGGCAGCACTGGGAGTGCAAGGAGTTGGAGAAGCCGCAGGGCCGCCTTGGCCTCCCGACAGCCTGCATCACTCTGCTCGTTTCCAGGCTGATAGGCAACAAGGAGGGCCGTCTCAGCAGCACGTGCAGGCGGTGCACCATGGGCGGCTGTTAAGGCGTGAGGGGGTGCTTCATCTGTGTCGGTTGCTGCTGCTTGCAGCGTGGGCAGCGGCGTGCATTGCCGGTGCATGGGGGCTGGCTGGGGACCACCGCGGCCTCAGAGGTACGCCCTCCTGCTGTGCTGGTGCTGAGTGCCGTTGAGTGCTGCTGCTGAGGGCTGCTGAGTGCTGCTGAGTAGTGCTGAATAGTTTGAGTGGTGCTGAATGGTGCTGAGTGGTCTGCCTCACAAACCCCTAAACCGATTTTTAAGGCTCCTGGTAAGGAGTTGAGAAGCAAGGGCTTTGTCAATAAGATGTGATGCAGAGCGGTGCTGACTGGTCCGCCTCACGAGCCCCTCTCGCCTCCAACGCTTCCCGTGCACCACCATTACACCACCCCCACACCACCCCCACACCACCCTCACACCACCCCCACACCACCCTCACACCACCCCCACACCACCCCCACACCACCCCCACACCACCCCCACACCACCCCCACACCACCCCCACACCACCCTCACACCACCCCTACACCACCCCACACCACCCCCACACCACCCTCACACCACCCCCACACCAGCCCCACACCACCCTCACATCACACCACCCCCACACCACCCCCACACCACCCGCACACCACCCCCACACCACCCCCACACCACCCTCACACCACCCTCACACCACCTTCACACCACCTTCGCACCACCTTCACACCACCCTCACACCACCCTCACACCACCCTCACACCACCTTCACACCACCTTCACACCACCCTCACACCACCCTCACACCACCCTCACACCACCCCCACACCACCTCACACCACCCTCGCACCACTCTCGCACCACCCTCATTCCACTCTTACCCCACCCTCGTGCCACCCTCACACGACCTTGCGTCACATCACTCTCACATCACCCTCACACCACACCTCGCACCAGCCTCACACCCCCCTTCATCTCCCCGCCCCCCCCCCCAAACCCCCCTTCACCCCACCTCACGCCCCTCTCTCTCTCCCGCTCCCCCCCCCTCTCCCAGACTGTACGGACATCTTGGCAGCAGGAGTGGCTCTCACGCCCACCACCGACACACACACCGCACCTGCCACCTCCGTGCCCCCCTCCTCCACCGCCAACTCGAATAGCACCTTCTTGAATTTCACCTCCCCCACTGTAGATGGCACCTCCCCCAACTCTACTGCCAGCAGCAGCAGGGCGGGCGAGTGGGGGCACCACCGGCGGTACGAGCGGCGGGCGGGGCAGTGCTGGAGCCGGGCGGAGCTGCCTTGCTATGTGGGCATCAGCAGGCACACACGGGTGCAGCAAGAGCAACAACAAAGCAAAGAAAGCACGGGGGACATTTTTTCCCCCGAGGGAGCTGGGCAGAACGAACAGCAGCAGCATGGGATGTCGGAGCAGCTGCAGGTGAAGCTGCGGCAGTACCACACGTACCGCCGCGAGTGCCTCCACCGCGAGCCCCTCCACCACCTGCGCTCCACCCTGCTCGCCGGCAAGCCCACCGCCTGCCGCTACCTTGTCTTCTACCACCCGTCTGACGGCCAGGGCAACCGCCTCATCTCCCTCGTCTCCGCCTTTGCCTACGCGCTGCTGACCGATCGGATCTTCCTGTTGAGCTCTAAGAGTGGGCCCGCTGCCGTGCTGTGCGAACCGTTTGAGCACGGCGAGTCGTGGGTGCTGTTTGGGCGCGAGGAGAAGCTGGAGGAGCATCATGCGCAGGTGCTGGCGCTGAAGGTGGCCAGGGAGTGGCGGGAGGTGAGGGAGGGGAGGGAGAAGAAGGGGAAGAAGGGAGGTGGGCGGAGGAGGCTGGTGGAAGGTTTGGTGCAGAGGCAAGAGCAGTGGTTAGGGGAGTGGCAAATGCAGTTGGGAAGGCAGCAGCGTTTGCTGCAAAACATCAATCCAAACACGCCAGCACCACCATCACCACCAACAGCCCTGCCACCACCACCACCACCTACAGCGCCACCACCGCCACCACCACCACCACTAGCACCAACAACAGTTTCTACACCCACCTCTCCTATGTTTCCTCCCCCAATGCCTCCATCATTTCAACCCCCACCCTTACCTCCCCCTCCCCCTCCCCCTCCACCCCCACTCCCACCGATTCTTCCCATGCCAACCCCACCACTGCCACCCACTGCACTGCCACCACAAGCATCATCACTGTCACTACCAACGCCACCAACACCACCAACGCCATTTCCAAAGCCACCACCAGCAGAGGCAGCAGCAGCACCCCCACCACCCCCACCCTTACCCTATCCGCCTCCCCCCCCACCATTCGAAACGCCAGCAGAAGGGGAGGACGAAATACCACCAATGTATGTCATCCGTGCCAATGCCATCCTATGATGTCCCTTGGCATACCACTGTTTGTGCCATGCCATGTGTGGCATGCCCACGTGTGTGTGCCATGCCCATGTGTCTGTATGATTGCCATGACAGTTCACGGTAGTGTCATGCCATCATTTGAGGCAATGCCGTCACTCAATGCGTCACTGAATGCCATCACTCGACACCCCTCTCTTCGCGATCTTGTCTCTACGCCCCTTCTCTGCCCCTGAGTCTGACCAGTCTCCCAAAGTCCCATTTCCCTTGCTCCACCATTCCCTCCCTCATAAGTCCATTCTTTCTCGTCTCCATTCCCCTCTCGTCCCCCCCTCGTAACCCCTCGTATCTCTCTCTCAACCCCATCCTCCCCTGCTAGTCATTGAGTGGAAACCCACTCCCCTCCAGCCCTCTTCGTCTGCCTCGCAGCAGCCTCCCACACCCCCTCACTCCCCAAGTTCCCACTTACTTCCTTCCTGATTCCCCTCCAACACCCTCCCCATTCCCCCCACCCTCTCCCAGTCTAAAGGTGAACATCTTTCACACAACCTCTCGATCTGGGCAACTCTTTTTCTGCGAATTCGAGCAGCAATGGCTCTCCCGCACGCCCACGCTCCTCCTCTCCTCCAACCAGTACTTCCTCCCCGCCCTCTACCTCCTCCCCTCCTTCCGCCGCCGCCTGCTCCTCCTCTTCCCCTCCCACCAGCCCTTCCGCTCCCTCTCCCGCCTCCTCCTCTTCCCCCGCAACCGCATCTGGGCGCAACTCACCCACCGCTTCCACTCCCTCATCGCCCCCGCGCCCGCGCGCATTGGCCTGCAGGGCCGCTTCCCCACGCACGCGAACGAAGGTCGACTGCGGTACGACACGATGAACATGGGTCGATGCCTGTTGGATGCTCTCAACTCGTCGGTCCTGCAGGAGGCAAGGGAGATGAGGCTTGGGGCGGATTGGGAAGAGGGCGGGCGATGGAGGGGGGTGGTGGAGGGGGCTGGGGCAGCGGAAGGAGGGGAGGTAGGGAGAGTTTTCACAAGCAGTGGCAGCAGTAGCAGCAACAGCAGTAGCAGCGACGGCAGTGGGGATGACTATGGGTTAGAGGGGTTGTCAGGGAATGTGACAGAGGTGATGGTGGCATCTTTGAACGCTGCTCTAGTGCATAACCTGTCAGTGGCAGTGACAGGCAACATGAGTGCAGTGCGAGTGAGTGTGGGGCACGACGCCACACATGCTGCCATGGGTGTTATACTACCGCCCATTAACAGCAATGCTGCTTCTCCTGCTCTTCCTGCTGCTGCTCCTGCGCCCATGTCTCCAGATGTAGCCAACAGCAGCAGCAGCAACGGCGCATCCGACACCCACGTCCACATAGTCCGGCTAACGATCGATGAGAAGCAGAACAATGGCGATAAGGCTGGTGTTGACCGAGCAATGGTGGACATCTACACTCTAGCTCTCTTCTCCGACGCCCTCATCATCTCCGAGGTCTCCACCTTTGGCTACCTCTGCGCCTCGCTCTTTGGTGTGCCCCGCACCACGTTCGTCAGTGCCACGTGCAAGCGAGCGCCGCCTGAGCCGTGCTTGCACTTCCCACCGGGGAACGAGCGGTGCCCGGATGGCCAGGCACAGGTGCTAGAGCAGGCGTTGGCTGCAGACCCGCATGTGCCGCTCATGCACTGCGTGGATGTGAGAAATGGGCTCACATTGAAGCCTCTTGAAGGATGGGAGTAGGCCTTCTGAGTAGGGTAGGATCTGGATAAGCTTGCGCGTGAAGTGTCGCTGTGCTATAATGTCGGCTAAGGGTGCATTCCGCTGTGAACACTTTCTCAAAGAAAGTGTCCGAATCACTTTTGGCCCTAGTCGCCCTCAAATGTCTCGGAACTTCATGTCCCAATCGATCGATGTACTGCGACCCACGGCAACATCTCGACAATTTTGTGTGAAGGAATGTGATTGGTCCGTTGTGTGAGTTGCCTACTCAACCTACGCGTCACATGCACCTGGGCGGAAGGTCTGCGGGCGCGAAATGATCGGGATGGTCAATAATTCCGAAGGAGCCTGTGGCCAATCACGTTTCAGAGTACGCGTAGCTACTGAAATCCGTCACTGTAGAATGATGACCAGGTACATTCAGCATGGATTGACATTTGGCACCGCGTGCGATGGCTGGTGTGTGTTGAGTTGGCGTGCAATTAGCCCGCGACAGTTCCGCGTTTCACGCCACCCAATGAAAAAATACTTTTTGCGACAAACAAGAGCGGTCCGGAATTCGGACACCTGGCAGCATATGTTGTAAGTACGCGTCACTTCTCTTTGAGAAAGTGTCCAGAGCGGAATGTACCCTAATTCCAAATTTAGTACCATAGTTGAACACCCCGAGGTCCTGCAATATTATTCATTTATTCCAACTCGTAACGTGTCGGGGAATAGATTGAGCAAAAAAGGCTTGTGGAAGATTACAATATGCGAAAGATTGTGGTAAATTGCCTATTACGAGTGGAATTGAGCGAGCGAGAAAAAATTGAACTATCAAGGCAAAACAATACAATGAGCGAAGTTTTGAGCGAATTGTTGTACGGTAGCAAAATCAAAGGTAACGTAATGAGTGATCACAAAAAGCGCCCCTGGGGCCTAGCGCAAAGGTTGGGAAAATGTCGAGGCATAGGACCGGGCCGCAGGTTACAAGCCGAGCCGTGTAGTTTGCTCGTGACGGTGATGGTAGCGGGAACAGTTTCCAGGCGAATGACTTGAGTGTTGCAATAATTGGCTCCGCCCTTGCTTGGGCGATGCCGACTTCGCAGTCGGGTACGTTGGAGGTACAACCGGCCGACTTCCTTCAGTGGACGCCGACTTGGGGGAGGAAGTCGACGGAGTTGGTCGACTTCGGCGGGACCACTGCGATGGCGCGGACGAGGCGAAGTCGGCTGACGGCTTCGGCACGGGCGGTTGACGAAGGCGTTCGTCGACCAGATGTCAAGTCGACACCAACTTAATGGCCTTTTCTGGTCGGCCATGTAACCTGGTCGACGAAGTTATGCGGAAATGCGCGAACTTTGCCCCGATAGATTTTGGCGGAGTCGACCTGCGTGGCGACATCATGTGGTCGACATGGTGCACCTAAGCAATCATCGACATATGGTCGACCCAGGATCGGCGCAACGTGCGTGACGGTGCACGACGTGCTTAACTAACTACCTGCACCTGCTTGGTAGGTGCGCACATGTGCGCACGTGCTCACCTGCTGTTGAAATGATGGCAAGCCTCCTTGCTGCAGCGTTGTCAAGCCACCCTGGTACTACGTTGGCAAGTCGTCGACTTTCAGTGTTGTCAAGCCGCCTTTCACCTGCATAGGCACGCCGCTGACGTGCGGAGTTGGCAAGCTGCCTTTGTGCTGCGCTAGAAGTCGACTTGAAAGTGTCGGGTTGCTAGTACATTTCTGCTGTATTCAATTTGCCATTGCGATTGTCATTGTTGTTCACAACTTTCAAAGTGAAACTCTTGCCAATTCGCCTCATGAACACAGGAAGTAGAGAGAAGACACGCAACACTACAGTCACCCGTACAACCCTGTAGCCTCCGACGAAGGCTAGCTACCACCGTTGTAGAGTGACTCTCGGCATGGTGCGATGAGCGTGGACGGTCCCGCAATAGACCTTCAGAATAAGCCAACTTTGCGCATCACCTAAGATGTTGTTAGGCCGACGCCATGGTTGAATCTGTTGTCGAGGCAGGCGTAGAGGATACCCTGCGGACGAGAGAGACTCATGTTCGGGCATGCCACCAAGCTGGCGAGTTTGGCGCAGCGAGTATGGAGGTGCTCCTCCTATGCTTTCGTGTGGGCGCGCGGGCATCCCCCTCCCCAACCTGAAGTGGACGATGCGTCCACCTCTCCCCGACCTGGAAGCAACGAGGGTGGCGGCAACAACGTTAGCGAAGGAGGCACGAGGGTGACGCGTAGTGTGATTTGGGCCGCCGACGTCGGCGTCGGTGGAATGCATGCGCGGGTATTGCAGTCGGGGGCTGCGGTCAGCTTGCAAGACGACGTCGATGGTCGACGTCGATCTCTCCAGTGAAGCGGATCCGGACCAACTTCGGCGACCTACATTTCAGCCGGCCAGGACAGCGGCATCGCTCCGACCTACGGTTACTTCAAGTTCTCATCGAACAAGTGCTGGAAGATCGACATGACCTTATCACGTGGACGGAGTCGATTGAGCCAAAGCTGGAGATCATGGGCCCGAAGAAGTTCGTCATGGGAGCGCCGTACAAAGACGACGCCGAAGATGGAGATCATGGGCCCGAAGAAGTTCGTCAATGGACGGAATGCTGCGCCGCCCACCTGCTGACTTTCTTGGTCATTTTCGCGGTGTTGCTCGTTGATGGTGCAAGCTGCTTTGTAGCCTTGCCGACTTCGAATGAACGTTGGCTTCGAGGCGTGGGAGTTTATCATGCAGGCCTACAAGGCGACCGCCGACCTCTACATCGGAGCGGTTGGCCAACATCAACATTGGCGAGCAAGAGTCGGCGACAGAGCACTGTATGACCGACCTGCGGTTGGCCGACGTCGACTACTCGGCGGCGTCCTACATTACACACGTCGTCAAGGTTCTCCTACGGGCTACAACCTGATGCGCCGAGTGAAGGCATGCGCACGCAACTCTATGTGGAATCCTAAGGCGAGCTTCATCATCCAAGATAAAATCATGCAGGAGTCAGAGCGGCCCACGGAGCTTCTTCTGCAGCCCAACTACGTTGCCTCACGTAGCAAGGACGTCAGCATGTGTAATGTAGGAAGTCGGGCAGAGGTGGAGGCGGGAAATCGACAAGCAACAAGTCGGCAAACGGAGCGGACTGCTAGACGCCGGCCAAGGATAATGAACGCAGTGGTAGGTGCCAAGGTGGGCGCCAGTGCTCCATTTGTGGCGACCTTGACCATCTTGCCTACGATTGTCCTGACCAGGAGGAGTATGCTGGCGGCCAGAAGGCTAACCACGGGATAATCGACGGCGACCGTCATCGTCGTGGCAACCAGCCTCGCAAGGGAAGCTGACGTCGAAGACGTCATTGGCAAAAGACGCTGACACCTCCAGCGGCAATGCACGCGGTGACGGAGCGGCCTCGTGCTCGATGGTCGGCGTGGTGAAGCCGACGATCTCGCTGGCTCCAGAGGCCGGCGAGGACATCCATGTCAAGAATCTAACGGACGAGAATGAATGACTAGAAACATGGAAGGGTTTAAATATGAGGAAGCCCTAGCATGACCTAGCCCACCAAAATACAACAACTCAGGTCGTCTCAACTAGTCCAACCACTATGGCACGTGGTCACAAGACTAGTCAGCAAGAAACAACACGGCATAACATGCAAACCAAGGTGGCACAACTAGTCCAACCTCTGTGACGAGCAAGGCCATAAGACGAGTCCATGGGTTCGCACGGTATATGTACATATATGTAAAATCTACATTGTTATATAATACAATCAGCGGAGGAAGCAACTGAGTTCAAGAAACAAGCAAGTGAGGACAACATTTAACTAGTCCGAGTTGAGTACAGAACTGTTGATGGTCACAAGGCCGACATGCCTTGGTAAAGATGTTAGCGGTGTTGGCCTCTAAGCCACTGTAATCGTGCATGCTTGGCAGCGCTGCTGTAGCTCGCGCAAGAAGAAGTTTCGCAGCTCAATGTGCTTCATATGCCCCAACAGTCGTGGCTCCTGACACAACAAGCTCATGGCTCTTTGTCAGCGAAGAGCACTGGGGCAGTACGAGACGGCCCAGGTCAGAGAGCAGAATGGTGAGCCAGTGCTACTCCGGTACAGCCATGGCACCAGCGTTGATATCAGCCTCACAGATAGAGCAACTTACAACGCACGAGTTGACCTCCAAGACACAGTTCTAGATCCGAGACTAAAGCAGTAGCCATGTGAAGACCTCCGAAACTGAACGTCGTCTGCACACGGCACGTCGCTGTGGCCAACGAGCCTGACTGCCCGTCTCCATCCAAGCACAAGCCCCATGCACGATGTGCTCCCCAGATAGCACACAACCCTCTTAGCGGCCTCCAGTCAACAGGGCGGTGTTCCGGGTGCAACGAGCTCCAACGTTGAGAGAGTATGCAAGATCTGGACGACTATATGCCATCACGTATATAAGGCAGCCCACCGGCTCTACGTAGTCACCACTAGGCTCAGCAGGCTTGTCAGGAACAAGAAGTGTGAGCTTGTGATGGACTGCAAGCAGAGTTACCTGCGGGGTAGAGTAGCGAAAGGGGAACTGCTCGAGGATTTGCTGCACCATGTGCGACTAAGACAGTGTAATGGTGCGCTATGCTTTGTCCCGCAAATCGAGGTACTGACGCAACTCATCTTGGTCAGTGCAGGTGTGTCTCATCTGCAGTTCCGCCTTCACCGAAGCCAATGCAACTCTGTCAGGCGTAGCAAATACGAGGTCGTCAACATAAACAAGTACATAGAACGGTGTGGAGCCAGAATGGACAAAGAGAGCAGGGGCAGCAGAAGACGGAGAGAAGCCAAGAGACATTAGAGTGGTGTGCATTGTGTTGTGCTACTCGCGAGGCGCCTGACACATACCGTAGACTAGCAGCCTGAGACCCGACAGGGTGCAAGGAGGAAATAACTGAGTAAAATTAGGCAGGTGGCGTAGCGAGATCTGCTCATGGTGGCTGTTTTGGAGAAACGGATTGCAATAGTCCAGTGAGTGAAGCTAGTAG